CGGGGACACCTGCCCCTGGGCGGCTGGAAAGTTTATACCCCTACGGTGCCACCGTAAGGGTATAAACTTTCCAGCCGCCCAGGGACAGGCGCCCCCGACAGCGAAAAAGTTTATGTTATACCGTTCTTCGCCCGTTAAGTAGCACCAGACCGTTGGCGCCATGTACCGCTTTGCCCACGGTCTGCTGGTGTCCGTGCTTGCCGCCACGACATGCCCGAGGGCGCTGGCCCTGAGCTCCGGAGGCGGTGCGGCGCTCGACGCGGAGATTCACCGCCAGAGTATGTCCCCCGACGCAGCCTCGGAGTCGTGCCGTGGGATCTCGAGGAGTGGTGGATGGGACATCGGCGCGCCCCTGCGGGTGGAAACATGTCCTACGGGACGCGAAAACGACCACAGCCACTGCTTTTCTATTGCTGCCGCCTTCCAGCCAGCAGAAAGCAGAGCAGTGCTTGTGGTCATTTTCGTTGAGCTTGGCACCAGGGAAATGACCACAGCCACTGCCTCTTCTTCGGCCGGCTGGAAGACGGCGCAAGCAAGAAGCAGTGGCTGTGGTCATTTTCCCGTCCCGCCTGCCCATACCGCCCGCTCCCGAGGGACCCAGGCAGGCTGCCCGAGGTTGTGGGTGGGGCTTTAACTCTCTGCGGTCCAGGAACGAGCCGCTGGGCCGACCACGGGCGGGAGGTGCGTCAACGAGGGCGACTTCGCCGTCGGCAACCACTGCGTTCTCCTGAAGGGCTCGCTGCTGGACGACTTCCAGGCCGCCACCCACCAGGACTTCGGGCACCCCACGGAGTGGTGCGTGTGCCTGCACCTGTACAAGTCGTGGGGCGGCGGCGGCGGAGACACCTCCGCGTGCTCCGCGGGCGCTATGGCGGCCCCCGTGTGAAGGGCGGTGCGCAGCAGAGCTGGCCTTACGTCGGGCGTGTCCCCCTACAGGGGGATTTTCGACGAAAAATAAAACAGACCCCCAAAATACCCCGAGAAGGTCCAAAGATACTCAAAAAATAGTCCCTGGACTATGTTTGGACTATTTTTTTGATTATTTTGCTGGTGTTTTTTCTTTTTCGTCGAAAATCCCCCTGTATGGGGGACAGGCCCGACTTTCAGCTGGCCGCAGGGAGGCGCCCCTGACGGGGCCCCGGGCCGAGGCCTCGCCGGGGCCTCGCCGGGGCCGCGGGGCACGCCGTCGTCGCTGGGCTCGCGGCCGCGGTATATCTCTATCGTGCGGGGCAGTCGACGGCCTCGTCGAGCGCGCCGCACGGCTTTGCGCCTCGGCACCCTGGATGGGTCAATAATCCTTGGCATCGTTCGGACGTGTGCCTTTTTCTCGGCGAGAACCATCGAGGACGATCCTGGACCATCGAGCAAAAAAAAACACGCACGAAACCGAAACATGCACGGGAAATGTACGTCCGAGCGACGGCAAGTAGTCGTTCCCCCTTGAATCAGCTGGGGGGGTTGGGCACGTGCTGTCGGAACGGACGGAGGGAGGGTCGGAGGAAGGGGGGGAGGAGGAGGGGGAGGAGTGGAGGGGGACGGGATTGGGCAAGCTCAGTCGGAAGGTGAATCGCCCCCATTGATAAATAGCCCATCCAGAGTAGCCGCACTCATGATTTTCCTTCCGCACGCCACGATCTCGTGCATTTGCGTCTCCAGTGAGATTTTCCTCGGGTGCCCTTCGCGTTTCCCGCAGGTGCTCGGAGGATCCCGTAGGGCTGCGGTGTGGACTCGGCATGCTTCTGGTGGAGTCCCGAGTTCTCTCGAGTAGTGTCCTGAAAGCAACAAAGCAATATGGGGGACTGAGCAAATACTTTTTCCCAGCGCTGTAGTTCGCATTCAGAAAACAAAAGGAAGGCGGGGCAAACCGGACCGCTGGGGACGTTCCCACGGTCGCCATCTTGTGGACATTTTGGGCGCTCTTGGAGGTCTCTTGGACCGCTCTTGGAGCTCTCTTGGAGCTCTCTTGGAGCTCTCTTGGCGCCTTCTGGAGGCGTCTTCAGCCTCCTCGCGAGATCCCAGCGCGCTCCCGGGGCGCCCTGAGGCTACCATGGCGCGTCGAGAGGCCGCCCAGGGAGCCACCAGCCTTTCCCCCTGGTGTATGTATGTATGTATATATATGTATACACACGTGTATGCATGTATGTACATATGTATATATGTGCATTTGTATGTATGTATGTATGCATGCATGCATACATGTATGCATGTATGTATGTACGTATGTTTGTACGTATGTATGTACGTATGTATGTACGTATGTATGTATGCATGCATGCATGCATGTATGCATGTGTGTATACATGTATGTATGTATGCATGCATGCATGCATGTATGTGTGCGTGCATGCATGTATGCATGTATGTACGTCGTTATGTAGGTATGTGTATGTATGTATTGTATGTAAACCTGCATGCATGCATGTATGCATGTATGCGTATATGCATGTATGCCTGCATGCATGCATGTCTGTATGCACGTGCATACACGTTCGCATGTATGTAAACAAGCATGGCTGTATACATGTATGAACTTGTGTATGTATGCATGCATGTATGCAGGTGTGTCTGTATTTATGTATGCATGTATCTATGTATGTATGTTTGTATGTATGCGTGCATGTGCGTATGTATGTATGTGTGTATGTACGTATGTCTGTATGAAAGTACGTAAGCTTGTATATGTATATGTATGCATGCATGTACGTATGCGTGTACTGTATATATGTATGTATGTATGCATGTTTTCGTATGTGTGTATGTATATATGCATGTATGTATGTGTGTATGTATGCATGCATGTATGCATGCATGCATGTATGTATGTATGTATGTAGGTATGCGTACATGTGCCCATATGCATTTATGCATGTATGCATGTATGTCTCAATGTATGTATGCGTGCATGCGTGCATGCATGCATGCATGCATGCATGTGTGTATGTGTGTGTATGCATCTATGTGCATATGTGTACATTGATGTGTGTATGGGCGTATACATGCATGTATGCATGTCTGTATGTATGTATGTGTTTGCACATGCATGCATGTATGCATGCCTGTATGTATGCATGCATCCATGCATGTATGTGAGTATGTATGCATGCATGCACGCATGCGTGCAGTTATGCATGTACGTATGTATGTGTGTATGCATGCATATGGACGCATGTGTATGTATGTATGTATGTAGGTAGTGCAATGCAATGCAATGTAGTGCAATGCAAAGTAATTTAATTTATAACGCACTGCACTGTAATGTAGCGCAATGTAATGCAGTGTAGTGTAATGTAATGTAATGTAATGTGTTGTAATGTAATGTAATGTGTTGTAATGTAATGCATGTATGTATGTAGTTGCCAGGTACATGTATAGGTATGTATGTATGTATGTCTGTATGTCTGTATGTCTGTATGTATGTATGTATGTATGTAGGTCTGTATACGTGCATGCATCTATGTAGGTATGCTTGTATGTAGGGCATGCTTGTATGCTCGTATTTTTGTATGCATGCATGTATTTATGCATGCATGTATTAATGTGTGTATGCACGTAGGCACATACATATATATATATATATATATATATATATATGCATGCATGCATGTATGTATGTATGCATGCATGCATGTATGTATGTATATGTATGTATAGATGCATGCATCTATGTCTATATGTATGTATGTATGTATGTATGTATGTATGTATGTACGTACGTACGTACGTATGTATGTATGTATGTATGTATGTATGTATGTATGTATGTGTGTAGCTATTGTAATACATATATATATACATATACATACACACATCTATATATATATATGTATCTATATATATATATCGGACGTGAGGGGGTGAGATCGCAGTGGAACGGAGAGCCCCCCTATACCGGGAAATCGGTTTCGGTTTCGTGTTCGTGCGTGCCGTGCTGTGCGGGCGAGGCGAAGCTGCGTGGGCGGGCGAGAAGAAGGTCTTATCCGGCTGAGGCGCGGCCGGACCAAATGTTTCTTTTCCGGGGGCCGGTGGTCCGCGGTGTCCCGCCGGTGTCCCGCCTCCGGCTGAGGCGATGCAGGACCAAATGATTCC